CTCACACCAGTCCCCCATGGATCTTCCTTACACAGGCTCTCCCTGCTTAAAAGCCTTTCACCTGCAGCATCACATCCAACCTCAAGGCGCACAGGGTGTCCTGCTGGGAACGTTCTCATCTGAGCTTGACCCCTCCTCCCCCATCTTTCTATGGCAGGAAAGGCACTTCCGCATCCTGGCCCTCATTGTTCACTTCTCCCCCACACCCTGCCTTCAGCCAGTCACCAAGCCTGTTATGTCCACTCTCAAAATTGCTTCTGGAGACACCTGCTCCTTTTTTACCCGCCCCCCCCCCTGTTCCCAGCTCTCATCAGCTCTCATGTGCACCCCATCCATTTCTTCATGGCCGACCTCCTTCATGCCCTGGCCCCTCCAGACTAGCCTCCCAAGTAGCCGGAATCGTCCATGAATTGTGCACAGAACTACATCGCTCACTGGCTTAAAACAGTCTCAGTGGTATCCCATTGAACTTACAGTAAAACCCAAAATGCTTACTCTACCCTACAAGGCACTGTGGGCTGTCCCACCTTCCTTTCCATTTCATCTCCCACATCCTCCTTGTTCACTCTGGTCCAGCCATTTGTGCCTCCATTTTCCTATTGAAATTAGAGGCCCGGTGCATGACATTCATGCACTGGGGGGGTGGGGGTGGGGGTCCTCCTCAGCCCGGCCTGCACCCTCTCGCAGTCTGGGACCCCTTGGGGGATGTCCACTGCACGGGGAGCGGGTCTCAGGTGGCAGGTGGCCATCCCCTGAGGAATCCTTAGCGGGGTCCTTGGCACTGCCACAGAGGTGGAAGAGGCTCCTGCCACCACCACTGTGCTCGCCAGTGAGCCGGCTTCTGGCTGAGCTGAGCTCCCCCTGTGGGAGCACACTGACCACTAGGGGGCAGCTCCTGCATTGAGCGTCTGGGCCCTGGTGGTCAGTGCGCCTCATAGCGACCAGTCATTCTGCAGTTTGGTCAATTTGCACATTAGGCTTTTATTATATAGGATTGCTATGTTGCTTGCTGCCTCAGGGCCATCACCTCCTCTGTTCCTATGGCCTGCATGCTCTTCCCTGCACTCTTTGTCTTAGAAGTGGTCCAACTGCTGAGTAAGTGTACCCTCCATCTTCCATCTATTCTTAAAAGCACTTTTCCCAACTTGAAATTGCATATTTATTTGATAACATTTTTAAATTTCCCTCACCCCAAAAGACTGTAAGCCACGTGGGGAAGAGAAAACATCTTTGTTTTGCTTTTTCAAAAAAAAATTCAGCTTTACTGGGGTATAACTGATTGTTTTTGCTTTTAACCACTGCATTCTCTGAGCTTAGCAATGGCCTGGCACATAATAGCGTTTGTTAGATACTTACTGACTCAGTGATGGAATATCAGGGTATTTCATCAACTCCAGTCTTCCCCTCGGACCATGAGCTCCTGAGGCAGGCTCAAGCTCATCTCTGGGTCCTCAGCCTCCAGCCCAGGGTTTGTCACTAAGGGGCACGTAGGAAATATTTGAACGGAAGGAAATGGGGAATTGATGGGTTCCTTCAACAGAAGGAGTCCAATGCATTGCTGAGTATAAAAAATAGACTCTAAGGGCAGTGGGGGGTTGGGCTGTGAGGAGATTCCAGTGTCCCTGAGTGGGCAGGGAATGGCTTTCTGCTGTCCACCGGAGGCTGGAGAGCATTTCAGAGCTCTATGGAGGCCCACGGTGGAGTAGAGAAAGGGCAAGCTGCGAGGACAGGTCTGGCTTGAATCCTGCTCCCCCACTCACATGCTGTGTGACATGCGGCAAGTGACTTCACCTTTCTGAGCTCCAATTCGTCGGTAGAAAGGGGATGATCACAGACCTTGCCTCCTGAGATTGTCATGAGGATTAGAAATAATGTATTGGCTCAATTAGCACGGACTAGACAGTGAAGCCGCTGCTGAAATATTTTAAGTCCCTGGATGCTGGGTGCTTCTAAGCAGAACACGGGGTGGATGCAGCTTGACCTTGCCTTGCCTTAGGACCATTGGAGAAGCAGCTCCGAGGGCAGGCCCAAGGCGAAGCAGGTGTGTGGACAGGAAATGAAGGCTCCAGCCCAGAAGCCAGCAAGGTGGGGAAGAAGTGGGCAAGCAGTGCCCAGGGCGGGCCAGGCGGGGTTTGATTTGAAAGTATTGGAGCCCATTGGAGGATGGCATGGCCATGTAGCAGGACCAGCCAGACAGCCCTTTGTCTGAGTGTCTGTCTGCCACCCTCATCCTATTTTCCCATGTGTTTAGGCCCCTAAGCCAGCTTTCCCTGCCTCTCCTCTCCTCCCCCCGCCCCCGCCCCACCCCAAAGGCTGCCCTGGTCTGGGCTTTGCTGAGGCCAATGTGCAGAGATGCAAAGGGAGGTTGTTGTCAATGAATGAATCTCAGTTCACCTTCTGGCTCAGCCATCCACTCAGTGTGGCCTAAAACCCAGTCTCTACCTGCTGCCACGCTGGGGGTCGGAGAGGCCTCTGGGCTCCCACATGCTATCGCCCTACAGATTAGGCAGCAGTTACCCGCAAAGACCCCTCGGGTCCCCATGCAGCGCGGCGGGCGTGGGGACACAGCCAGGAGTCAGTGGAGATGCCGCCAGACACAGCAGCATCTAGAAAGAGGCTGGGGAACGGAGCTGCAGACAGGGTCCCCAGGGGCAGCCGAGAGGAAGAGGCCGTGGCTGGGGGCCCCGGGGGGTGAAGAATCCTGCTCTGCTGTCCCCGGTGGGCTGACTGCTCCCCCCACACTCCCCGCCAGGCCCCTGGGGGACCTCGCTCTAATAATGTATTTGATCGACTCGCCGGCCGCGTACAAGCGATTATTGTCTTGTCGGGAGTCAAACGTATCGATCCGGTGAGAAATATGAGCGGAGCAATGGGGCCCGCGTGTCAGTTACCAGCCCCGCTGGCCCTGGGGAGCCCCCTGCGTCTCCTTTAATTACCGCTCAGCCCTGAGCCCAGCCTGGCCTCCCTGCGCAGCCTCCTGCCCAGACTCCCTGCACCCCCCGGGGCCCCTGCTGCTCCCCAGCTCCTGTGCCCTACCTGTCTTGCTCAACCTAGCTAGAAGCCTCTCTTCCAGCTGGGTGGCCACCATCCCCTGCGCGGGCCCCCTCATTCCTGGCTGCCAGGCCTACCCACCAGTGTGCCCCAAGCTCTGCTCCTCTGTCCTCCTTCAGGCGGGGGGCCTCTCATGCCCCTTCTCCTTCAAGGTCCCCTGGCTCCTCGGGGACTCCGTTCTGGTCTGCCTGAGGCCATGAGAGCGGAGCCAATGCAGGAGGCCAGCGGGCGGGGCGCCTCCATCCATGGCTTTCCCCTTTCCCCTGCTCACTACGCAGCTGCAGGCCTGGGAGGGCGGCTCGGAAATGAGCGAAGCTTCTCTCCTTGCTCACCAGAAAGGGCTGCACCTGGTCACGTCCACGCTCCACACACGGGCGATAGTGACTATGTCCAGGGTGGAGCATGGGGGTGGCTTGTGGGGTTTGGGTCCCCCATAGTGTCCTTATGACCCTCATTTCCAAATCCCCCAAAACGTAAATCCTAAATCGAAACAGAGCATGCTGGGCAAATGGGCTTTAAGACAAGGTTCCAGTACCCCACTGACTGGCACCGGACTGCTGTCCGGAAGACCCTCATGTATAGAAATTCTGTATAAGAGAGAGATGGAAAGAGAGGGGGCAGGGGGAGAGAGAGAGAGAGAGAGAGAGAGAGAGAGAGAGAGAGAGAGAGCAGGAGGCAGCAGATATGAGTTGGAGCTGAGTTGATGCTGGGTGGTCTGGATTTCCTCAGTGAAACGGCATTTACAGGACAGGACAGTGTGGAGTGTAGACAGCTGGGAACTGCCCCTCTGTGTGCAGATGTAGGCACTGCTGGTCATTCCCATCAGGTGGGCCCACCTGCCTGCCTGGGCGTGTCTGGGTGCTCAGGGCCCATGCAGACGGAAGGGCACGTGTGAAGATCTGCCTGTGTGTTGTAGCCTGCGTGAGTGTGCATGGGTGTGAGTGAGGGCACACGCGGCCAGGAGCATGCCTGGGCACACATGTGTAGATGTGCCCTTGTGATGTGTCAACGTGAGGGAGCAGAGGGGGTTCTGAACAGGCGAGTGGGCAGGGGGGGTTGGTGTTGGAGCCGCTGCCCAGTGTTCCTGTGTGTGTGTGCGTGTGTGAGGTGCTGGGGTCCGTGTGTAGAAATACTTGAATGTATGTGTGTGGGGGGAAGGGTGAGTCCAGGCGTCATTGTGCGCACGTGTGTTTTGGGGGTTCCCCAGCCTAGGCTAGCCTAGTGAGTACGGCAGGGCCCGGAGGGCTGGTGGGCTGTTTGGAGGAGCCAGGAAGCCCCGCGGCCTCGGACCCGGCACCGGGGTAGGGGTAAGGGGAGGCGAGGGGGCGGGAGGAGAAGCGGGCA